CATGAAAACATAGGGGTATGAACTCACTTGATAAGTGGTGATTTGGTTAGCGCTTCGCTACTTGAAATTATGCGTGTCTGGTGAAAATCGAGTTCTGTGTGGACAGAGTTTTGACTAAAAAAGATTATTTTCTCAAAGACTTTGATTGCTCTGGGCTTTCTTCGGGTGTTAGGGAGGTTCCTTAAGCTTCAGGGGGGGTTAGGATGGCTTGAGAGGGTATAGAGACTGAAAAAGTGAGAAATTTATCAAACAAAACCGGGAGGCCTCGCATCCTATACACAGGTGGCTGAGGTCTAGCATTACGTTGGGTGTAAATTCTAGTATGCTGGGTGTACCTTGGTAAGCTAAAGTACGTTGGGCGTAGTGGCTATGTGCCTTTTATTCGGTTTTCTAGCTTCGGACGTGCTAAGGCTATAACCACATGCCCGACATGCGAAGTTATAGGGTGATGTGGCCAACTCCGGACCATGCTTTAGAGTACGCTAAGCGTACCCTTGTACGTTGGGCGTATGACTTTGGATTTGAATTTTTCAAACATCAAAAATTCATAACTTTCTCATACGAGCTTCGTTTTTAATGTTCTTGATATCCACGTGTAGGTGAGACCGTACTCTACAACTTTCGTTTAGACTCCATCGGCTAATTTTGAATTTATTTTTAAAGTTTTATTTTTAACAGGCCGGGACAGGAAAAGTCCGTTAAAAATTCATAACTTGTTTATTCGACGTCCGTTTCCGTCTGTATTTTTACCTTTGAATTTCTATTGACAAGATCTCCAATTAGCATTTAGGTTGTGTTGGCTAGAAATTGCTCGATCTAAAATTCGAGTTTCGGACTGCATACTGTTATGCAAAATCTTAGAAAATTCATAACTTCGCCACACGAAGTCAGATTTGGACATTCTTTTTATGCACGCTCTCAGTTTTATGTATACTACGACTTTAACTTAGATCGTTAAAGCTAAAAAGTATTCTAGTGTAAATTCACTTTTTATGACACACTGCGTTGTGCCGGTTCTGTCACGAAACTTTGATAGACCATAACTTCTTCGTTATAGCTCTGATTTTGGTGTTCTTTATATTTCAAGAATCCTTGTCATGACCACTACCACTTTCCTCATAGATATCATGTTTATTGAACATTTTATTTCTTTTTTTCTTTAAAATTAATTACAAGTTGATCTAGTCTATTGCATTGATTTGAAATAACGGGCCGTTACAACAATATGCAAATGAATCCTTATGATTAATTTTAATTACTTCAATCCTTTTAATTAGTTTATCATACATTTCTAATTAATTTATAAATTCTATAAGAAATTAAATTAATTTCCTATTCCTTATGCTATTTGGGTTATGAGGTTAACCTTGCTATTATTATAAATATTACCAAAACATTTAATGACCTTGGACACCATTTCCACCATATATATATATATATATATATTATATATATATATATATATATATATATATATATATATATATATATATATATATATATATATATATATATATGTGTGTGTGTGTGTGTGTGTGTGTGTGTGTGTGTGTGTGGTGTGTGTGTGTGTGTGTGAGACAGGCCCTTAGAAATTCCGAAAAAAGGAAGATATGGAGATTCAACCTAAGCCACACATTTCTCATTATATGTAACACCCTGTTCTGAATCATATGCTAATTCAAGGTTGTGACCTGAGGATCAGATATCAGAAAGCTTAGGGCCTTGGAGAAAGAGAGATTTAGATCATTTTGTGTGTAGGTAATGTAGGTTAGATGATCTGGGGGTTCGATTTGTGATTTGAAGCCCAAGGGTACAACCGTAAAGTGGTAGTTCGTATTTTTATGAATTTTAAATTTTAGTTCAGGAAGTTTTAAGGAAATTATGAGTTTATAGAAGTATAGAGCTTCTCGTTACCTTTCCAGGCGTATACAGATCGTCGAAAATGGATTTAGAGAGGAGAAGTTATGGCCTTCGGAAGTTTGGTGGTAATTAGGGTTGAGCCTAGTATGCGGGGCGTACATAGGAGTATGTTGGGTATACTCAGTAGGTGCATCATAGGTGCTCTTTGGAGTACGTTGGGCGTACCATAAGTACGTATGATGTACTCCAGTCAGACCCAAACCCAGATTTAGGTTCTTGGACCCTATTTAAGCTCCTTAACTCAACACCAAACCATCTCATCTCCAGTCAGACCCAATGGTGTGGCTCTTGAGCCTTTGGTAGTATTTCATGCATTTTGGTGCTCATAGAAGAAGAAGGAGCTTCTTGGAGAAGTGTGGGATTGCTTGAAGATTTTGGATCCAAGCTTTGTGCATCTTGATCTACTTTCTAGAGGTATAAAGTTTCAAACTTGATGAATCTAGGTGTTAGATCTAGTCTAAGGAATGTTTTGGGTTCATTTTGGTCGTTAGAGTTATCCATGTGAGTATGAGCTACTCCAAGAGCTTAAAATGTTTAATCTTGGCATTTATGAGGTCCCTTGTTCATAAAAATGTCATCAAGATGAGTTATTTTGGACCATGCATGAGTTTGGGTGCTTCTAATGGATTCTATTGTGGAGTTGGTCCAATCAAGCCATGTAAAGGAGTAAAGTGTTGAATTTATATTCCCAAGAATCATTATGGAGTGATATTCCTAATGATATATGATCCTATAGGGTCACACCTTAATCAAGTTGGTACTTATTGAATATTTATTAAGTGTATGATACAAATAAATAAATTCAATTATTGTATTTAACTAGAGAATAATTATCGTTTTATAATATTAATAATAAAAGAAACTAGAAACTAGTCATTATATGACATGGTATCATAAAATAAGTCATGTATAAAGTTTTGGACCTTTTGGTTAATAATGATTAAGTTAAAGACTTACTCTACCATGGTTATAAAGGTTAGAGACAATTTTTATCTCTTAAAAGACCTCATGCCCGAAAATGCTAAGGCATGGGAGATTGCTTGTGAATCTTCCCCATGTTGGTCTCTATGCTTTGCCCCCCTTTCACTTTTTCTTTATTATACTTTAGAGTATATTAACGGTTTGACTTTACTTTGCATGGGATATATAAAGGGACTCTTTTGCATGAAATGGGGTTATTCTTTTTACATCTTCTTCTTCTCTTCTTAATCCCAAAAAGTCGTAGCTTTCTAAGACTCCAAGAAGACTTCACTTTTGAAGTTGGTTCTTGCTTTTGGTGCTTCAATTTGTGTCTTCCTTTATTGCTTATTTTTTTAAGCACTTAAAGGCTTAAAGAACAAAGTGTTACAAGAGGAAACTAGCATTTATTGGTGCCTTAATCTTGATGGTGGATACTTGTAGAGACGTTCATGTTCTTTGATTTTTACATTTTCATCAACACCCCAAAACCATGTGGTTTCAATGGCTTCAAAGGTTATCTTTAAAACATCCTATGCTTGTTTTAATATCATTCAAACCTCTATAAATGGATCCTAGATGGTTTGGTTTTGTTGTGAACTAAAAATAATCTTGTTATTTTTAAAGACTTCCGTTGCTGGTTTTTATGAAAAATTAACTTATATTTCGTATCAAAACCCATTAGTGGTATCAGAGCCATCTTTTATATGTTCGAATGATTTGTTTTTTTTTATGTTTTATAATCTTTAGTTTTTGGGAAACAAGCATCGATTTCTTTTGGTTAAGAAAAATACATATTTGTCTTCTTTGGCAACTTCTTGGTTAAAACTGTTTATTTTTATATAAAACAATTTTTCATGCGTTTTGGTTATATATAAGTTGCCTTTTGAGAAAACCAAAGAGTTGTTTGTTATAATATTTGATATGTT